AGCATCAGCATCAGCATCATCATCATCATCATCATCATCATCATCATCATCATCATCATCATCATCATCATCAGCATCATCAGCATCAGCATCATCATCATCATCACCATCCTCCTCATCATCATCAGCATCAGCATCAGCATCATCATCGTCATCATCGGCAGCATCATCGTCATTTTCATTACCATCATCATCATCAGCATCAGCATCGGCATCATCACCAGCATCAGCATCAGCATCATCATCATCATTATCATCATCATCAGCATCATCATCATCATCAACATCATCATTCTCATCATCATCCTCATCTTCATCCTCATCATCCTCATCATCCTCATCATCCTCATCATCCGCATCCTCATCCTTCTCCTGCTCCTGCTCCTCCTCGATCATCCTCCTCCTCCTCGCTGCTCCCCCCTCACCCTCCTCCTCCTCCCCCGCCTCCTCCTCCTTCCCCTCCTCCTCTTATTTCGTTTCCCCCTCATCCTCTTCCTCCTCGCTCCTCCTCGCCCATCCTCCTCCTCCGCCTCCACCGCCTCCTCGCTTCTCCTCCTCCTCCTCCTCCTCCTCCTCCTCCTCCTTCCGTCGCCATTTTGGCTCAAGTCCGTAGCGTGGCCCAGGCGTCAGCAGCGGACGGAGCTTTCTGGCATTGGGGGGCGCCTCAGAGGCGCACGCGGCCCCAGCAGCTTCCCCCTGGCAACACCAGTCAGGGCACTTCGTGTACTCAACTTTCTCGGCGCGCTTTGCCGTGCAGGTGCCCGCCTGCACGAGCTGTCCTTCACCACGGCTGGCTCATGGCGCCTCCTGCCAGGCAGGATGCTCTTCCGTTCCAGAGTGGTCACAAGAAGCAGCGGGTTGCATGGGCAAAGCCATGGTATTGTAAGCACTGCTGGTCACAGTCGACGGGAGATCGGTGGTGTAATCGAGCGGACCAAGACAAGTGGCAGTTGTGCAAGGAGCATAAGGGCACCGCCTTCGGCGGCACCAAGGAGGTCGTCGGCCGGGCGCCCAGCAAGAGCGTCCGTGCTGCAGGCGGCGCGGGCGGCCACGAGGCGGAGATCAAGAAGCTGCGGGCAGAGCTGGCGAAGCTCAAGAGTCAGCAGCAGGCACCAGGCAGCGGCGGGGCCGATGCCATGGAGATCGACGGGCTCGGCTTCGGCAAGGGGCCCGACGCCGACCTCAAGCGTGAGTTGGCGGACGTGGGCTCCCACCTCGTGGCGCTGGAGAACGCGTCGTGCGCCGAGCTGGTCGGGGCCCGTGAGAAGCTCCGCGCGCGCCAAGGCGAGCTGCGTAAGAGGCTCGTGGCGGGCAAGAGCTTGGATACACGGCTCAAGGAGATCTCTTTCCAGCACCAGAAGTTGGAGAAGCGCAAGGGGAAGCATGAGGAGCACCTCGTCACGCTGCGTGAGAAGGTGCGCGCGGCCGAGGCAGCGGTCGTCGAGGCGTCGCTGGGGCTGGACCGCCTCGTCGCCGAGCTCCTGGAGCTCGAGGAGGAGCGCCGCCAGCTGGTGGCGCAGGTGCCGCGCCCGCAGGATGGCGAGACGCCGTCGTTGGCGCAGGTGCTGCCAGTCGCGTCCGAGGAGATCACGGTGGCCAAGCTGGGCGAGCTGCTCGCCGCCTTCGGCGGGTCAGGTGACTTGGCGACGAGGCTCCACGGCTGCTGGAAGAGGTGCGAGCTGCCGAGGCTGAGCACCGCGCTGAGCAGCGGCGACGCGCTGCCGAGGAGGCGGCGCAGCAGCAGGCAGCGAGCCAGGGCCACGGAGGCGCTACCGCCTCCGCAGCCGCGCCTGGCGCGGCAGCACCAGGCTCACCGACCTGGATCCCCAAAGCGGACGGGGACCCAGAGGTGCTGCGGGCCTTCCTCCAGCCGGTCACTTTGCAGGTGCCAGAGGACGAGGGCGAGCTGCGCGAGGCGGTCAAAAGGGCAGGGGAGTCGCTCTCCAACTTCGCCAAGAAGCAGCGCTGCAGTGTATAGCCTGGTGCACCTCATCCGAGGTATGATGATGCAGATTGTTACAATGAGTTCGTCTTCTCATGGGCCTCTGGCGGAGATGCTGGAGGCCGAGCAACCGCCTCTGGGAACGGGACCCATGGTGATTTGCTGCCATGAACACCACGTGCTTGGCGACAAGTTGGGCTCTTTCCAGGCGAGGCTCGCGGCTGCAGGGTATCACGGTGTGTGGACGGCGGCAGAGGCTACCGATACCCGAGGATCGCGAGGCGGGGTGGCAGTGCTGTGCCCCGCCAATGTGCAGGTCACGTGCCCGCCGCTGTCGATGTCGGGGGTGCTCGTGCCCGCTAGAGCTGTAGCCGCCCACGCCCATTCGAGTATGAAAGGCGGGTTCATTGCGATTTCAGCTTACCTGTGGATGGATGAGCTTTTCGGGCCTAACAATATTCGGCTGCTAACAGAAGTTGCCAGCTATATACATCGGGTGCAGGCGCTCGGCTTCGACTGGGTGTTGGGGGCGGACTTCAATATGCGGCCAGCGCTGTTGAAGGCTTGGGCGGCTTCCATTGGCGGCGTGGTAGTCGCCACCACGACTCCTACTTGCACCCAGAGCATTCCAGGCACGGTGATTAACTTCTTTGTGATGAGTGCGAACATGGCTATTCGCACGTCGGCGCCCGAAGTTTGTGTGACGGCCAACTTGTCACCACACAGGCCTGTTTGTGTGCAGATGCAGGGGCCCGACGCGGTCCTGTGGGTGCGTGTGGCCAGGCAGCCGTGTGCTGTGCCAGTGCTGGCGAAGCCTGGCTGCGCGCGCTACCCCAGGGACTGGGCGGGCTTCATCCAAGATGTGGGCAGCGCGGCCTCCGCCGACGAGCTCGCCACTTTCTGGGGCCGCATCGCACGCGGCATCGAGCAGGCGCTGCTGGACAGGCGCGACATCATGGGGCCGAGGCGGAAGGATCATGAAGGTCGTGCAGGACCGCATGAGACGGTCTGGAAGCAGGCGACGTCGGTGGTGCGCACGCGGCTGCCGCAGGCCGACGTGGAGTACACGGCGTGGGCGGTGGCGGCGCGCTGGGCGCGGCAGATCAGGCGGGTCAACCAGGCTCTCGCGACCTACATCCCGAAGCTGAGCGATGAGGGCGAGGTCCAGCAGCTGCACCTGCTGGAGCGGGTGGCGCGCATCCTGTTCGAGGCTCCGGCGTTCATGAGCAACGTTGCAAGGCGGCGCTCCACTCTGCAGGCGCTGGACCATCTGACGCGCACGTTTTTTCTTTCTGGCTTAGCAGTCTTCGGCGACCCTGCGGCCGAGGACTTGATTCAGCGAATCCTGGGCCAGGCCGACTCTCACCAGGCCGGGTTCCTGGCGTTGAAGGATGAGTCTTGGAAAGCCTGGGTTCGGAGCAGTTTGTTGGGCGGGGCTCGGGGAGCTCATCGGTTTTCCAAGGTGCGAGGGCTCCAGGAGACGATCGAGGCCACCGAGCGAGCGCAGCCGTTTCAATTGGCTGATGCGACTTGCTCGGACTGGGCCAAGATATGGTCGACTCACGGATGTCGAGCGCCCGAGTTTCCGCCCGATTTCGATGATTGGCCGTCGCCCCCCGAGATCACGATTCCCGACATGCGAGCGGCGATCGCCAAATTCCCTCCCCGTACAGCTGTCGGGGGCTTGAGCATTCACCCGAGGTCGTTGCAGTATCTGTCGGATGCCATCTTGTCGGCTGTCGCCGCCCTTCTCATGCGATGCGAGAGGGTCGGGTGCTGGCCAACGGGACGGCTGGTTAGTCGCTTGGTCAGGCTGGCCAAGCCAGACGGCGGCCACCGCCTGATCGCCCTCCCAGATTCCTTGCTGCGGCTTTGGGGCCGCTTGCGTAGGGCAGAGACCATGAAATGGGAGCTCTCGGCCAGGGCGGGCGTGCGAGGAGGGGCGTGTTCAGGCTTTCTGGGGTACTGGGAGGGGGATGAGCTCTAGCGATTCTGCCTTTGATCTGAATCTAGCAGCGGAGATTGCGAAAGCACGGTCTCATCATTGTGTCTCGCTGCTGCTCGATATGTTTTTTTTTTTTGTCCCCAAGGGGCCGAACCATGTTTGTTTAAACCTACGTGCTTGAGGAGGCAGCTGCCCGAGCAGCTTCCTCTCTGGCCAGCACGCGCTGGCTGATCGCACGCATCCCGTCCGCCTGGGTGAGGCCTGTCATCGCAGGCTGGTGCAGCGTGACCTCCTCGGGCGGTGGTAACGCGGCAGCGTAACACAGATTGGCAACTCCTCTCCGAGAAGTTGTCGAAACCTCAGCCTGCACATTGGCTTGAGGGAAAAGACCGTCGTAGATGCGTCGTAGACTCGTGGCACCTCCAGCAAGCTTTCGTTGCTGGCACTCTCGGCCTAAGAGTCTGCATCTGCGGGTTGAGTATGCCCCGCAGACAGAACAGAAAAACAGAACCTTCTGCTCCGTTCCTCGAACAACCGTACAGTGTGCG